AGATGAAGAATAAAAAGAAAAAAAGGAAAGAAAAGAAAAACGAAACACTCATAAAATTTGTCAAGATATAATATGTATTCATCAAAGTTTACAAGGAAGAAAAAGCTGATTTTAGCAAATATACATTAAGTACTTTTTATGATTTTAAAATAATATATAAATATTCTCATTTTTAATAATTTTTTAACTTTAAAATTTTTATCAGGTACCTTTATTGACACGTTAGAAAAACTAATAATATTTAATATTGTATTAAAGGGACTTTTGTTGTTTCTTAGAATTAAAAATAATCAGTTTATTGTACCCGACATGCTAAAAACTAAAATAGAAGCTACTCTGTGTTTTTTTTATTTGTCATTTAAAAGCTATTTAACATAATTAATTTAAGAAAATTAATTAATTTCCTAGTTTATATAAAATTTCTATTTGATTCTAATTTTATTCTTCCATTATCTATTTAATCAACTTAATTAAATGCACAACAAATTAAAAATTTTGTAAAGTGTAAGGGTATAATTAATAATAATAATAATAATAATAAATATTTTCTTAAACTTTTAAAGTGAGCGAGAATGTTTTTTAAATGAGCACAAATGAAAAGGAAGAAAGGAAGTATATGGATATTGGCTTTGTACCTTTGCTGGAGCGTTCACAGACTTTGTTTTACATTTATTCTCAACTTATAAAAGTTACACAAGACAAATAGAAAAGGTTCTTCATTATCTAAACCTAGTACTTATAGATTTTGGTCTCAAATCTCTACACCTAGGCCTAGCTAAATCAAGTCAAAGGAACCTTTTTTTCCCATGCTTATTGATCTCAACTGCAGCAGCTTCATTTTGAAGATTTACTTTGTGGCAAAACAAATAAAATAACAAGATCAATAAGTATTGTTAGTGTTGTTCTCAGTACTACAAATTATTCATGGCATTGACCTTTCATTTATTAATTGTGAAAAATGTTAACTTTAACTCTTAAAACTAAGTTTAAGCACACAAAATAGTAACTTTTATATAAAAAAATATTTATTACATATTGTTCTTCAATACTGAGTTTAAGTTAACACAATTCGTTACTATTTTACTTTCTTATTTGTTATAGGATTTAATCAATATTATCTAAACATTTTGAAATAACATAAGAATAAAAATAATAATAACTGCTCTTATTTTACAGAAAGATCATACTCGGCAGCAAAGTAATACATGTACAGAAATGTATTTTTGTGAGAGGACGCAGTAGGTAGTATACATATACATATATATATAAAAATAAAGAAAAGCTGGATTAGAAGGAGTAACCAAGAGGCAAATGTCCAACTACAATAGAAGTGCTAATCAAAGCACGACCAAGGCCTTCGTTGTATTTACTCATATATTTATATATGAAAAGCACTTTTATAACTAAGGAAAGAATAAGCATGTACGTCAAATAAACATATATTTGTATATGAACAGCCACATGGAGAATTCCCTTCATTGAAACAACTGCTCAGGAACATCATTTTCGGTAACAAGAGGGGCTAAAACTCTAAATTAAAACAAAACAGAAATAGAAAACCATCCTAAATAGTAGTAATGCAGGGTAAGGAAGCTCCAAGACATATCACAAAGAATTAAGTTGTCAATTTTGGTGGAGAGAATGGAAACTAAGCTCTTGATGAATACCCCAGTTAACTAGCCTGCTGCACAAACACTCCCTTCTCTACAAGCGTGAGTGAAAATAATCTTCCAATTGTGCTCCTTCCATTCTACAATTTTTTTCATCAACTTTCTGTTAGTTACTTTGTTAAGTGAATAATTTAATTCCTTGATTATTGTCTGGGAGTCAGATTCCATGTTAAGTTTCTTGATAACTAAGTTCCAAGCCATTTCAAGACCTTTTACTAGATCTCAATGCTCTGCAGTATATGCAGAGCATTTTTCAATATTAAAGTTAAACCCACAACTCAGAAACCTCGATCATCCCTGATCAAATTATATTATTAATATCTAAGTTGTATCAACTTTGATTTCAATTAAATTACAAACACTTGACTACCTTTAGACACTAATAAACACGACCAAAACCGGATAAGCTCAAAATGCTCGCTAGTATAAATATAAGAAAAACATTAATCTCTGTTCTTAAGACTTAGTAAGTTTTTAATTAAAAGTATTATCATACTTCAATATAATAAATATCTTTTAACACAAAATTATTAATTTAGATATTGAGATTAACAAAAACAGTATATATAATATGTAAAGAATGCCGATTAATCAATTATCGCTGGCTGTGATTTAAAGAATATGGAAGACTCTGCCCACAATGATTTCCCCTTTCACCACGTAATCAATGATGGCATGTGGGTTCAAAAGACAATGTTTCAGCAATCCAGTAGTGGCCGTTGGGCGCAAAGTGGGAATCAAATAAGTAGTTCCTTAATTTTCTACACACAAAGTAATAAAATTATTAATTTTTGATTTGTTAGCAAATAGCAACCAATCTTGTTAAGTTTTTTGAACATCCATTTTGTTTCCCCTAATCATATGTTAAAGAACTAAACTTTTCAGTAGCAGCCACAGTTGTGAAGGCATGTTGTGTTGTGTTGTGTTGTGTGGTCCAATACTAAAATGGACACACACACACCATTACCTGCATGATCCAAAAGCCATTTGGCATGGCGATTCTCTAAATCACTCAATCCCCTAAATAATGCGTAATCTTAAGATAAAATCAAATTCTCTTTCAATGTGGGGTTTTCTATTTTCTAAAACGGAGCAAGGAGAAAGAGACACATACTGTGGCACGGCTAGGCAAGATTTTGAATTTACGCACAAAAGGTACTAATTAAGTTGCATAATAGAAGCTACTTTTCCAGTATTAGGAAACCTGAAAAAAAGGGTGTTCCACATACCGTGAAGACACAAAGATATATGAATAACGTGAGAATCAATAATGCGAAACAACAAATGTGCACTGTGGTCACACAATAAGGTTCACCATCTACACAATATGTGCAAGTTGTGCGTCGGAGAATAGTTTTTGTTGGCGGAGCATATCGATGCCGATGGCGTGCATTATTATGTCGAGAGTTACATGCATATAAAAGCTGCAAAGTTCATGTAAAAAATATTTGTATGAGAAGGATCATAGAACTTCTGAACTTGGTGTTAATTAATCTAGTGATTTAGGTTTAACCCTCTATTACTATTTTGATAGTACATTGGCTTCTTTATACCACTATCAAAATCAATAATTTTGCTGAACATGAAAATTTATTCTAAATGTCATTTATATATAACCGATCATTAATAAATATATACCTTCCTAGTGGGAGTTCAAACGGGGCTAGGTAAAAGAACTTTCACTATCAAGAGTGACCTCAATTCCAATGACCTACTCACATTTATTAAGGTTGCTCTAAGCTATAACGGGGTCCTTGCATTTATCATGGCTTTGATGAATATCAATTATTATGATACGGATACTTCTAGTGTTTAATTGTTAACATTATGCTATAATATACATGCCATTGGTTGAAATGGCATTGGTTGACATGCCTATCCACAAAAAAGAAAAAAAGACCATTGACGTCACCTAATGTTATTATATTCATGCCACCAGTTGATAGGGAGGATAAAGATAATCCAATTAATGAGAGGCCTGGCTTTGGTTGCACTCGTAATTAAAATCTTGTCCAATGAGGACTAAAAATTTAAAGTTTTACCGACAAAGTTATTCCAATAAATAATTGAAAACGTCAATTTTTTTATTGAAAGGAATTATTCCCCTTGTTTTCATTGCATAAAAAGAGTTGATGGTAACAAAAGCAGGAATTATTTGTTCCTGTGGTATTAAAGCTAAAGCAGAGAGATTATAAAAGAAAAAAAAGTAAAGCACAGATTCTATAAGTGAACCTTTTCTCATGAGGAGCACAGAAAATTTGTTCATGGATTAGGATCGTGTATTCTCAGCTTGTTTAAGTGCTAACCACTCGTTTAATTAATTAACTGGTGAGTTATATATATATATATATATATATATGTGTGTGTGTGTGTTATTAAATAATTTTTTATTACCACTCGTTTAATTAATTAACTGGTGAATTATATATATATATATATATATATATATATGTTATTAAATAATTTTTTAATAAAAAATTAAAGATATGTTGTATAGTTATTTTTAAATTTAATATATTTTGTAACTTTAAAAATATTAAATATTTGTTATTAAATAGGTTAATTTTTATATTAATAAGAATATAAAATTAAAAGTTAAAAATAAAACAAGAGAAGTCGCATGAGAAGAAATTTACAACTCCAAAAAAAAATTCATTTGAGGCAGTTACGAGAAATATTCTGATATAAAAATTTATAGAAGTGATTCAATCGAACCAACAACAAAAGCTGTCTAGTTAAATTCGTGTAAATTTTTACGTTGGTGTCTTCTTCAACCAAAGCTGTACGTAGGCTCTCATAATACAAACAAATAATAATGTACCCGTCAAAAAAGGAGGAGGAGTTATGATGGCTCCATTTCGTCATTAGCTACTAAAATACCCGCGTTTTAAATATATATATTTTACAGGTTTAATTGTATCTCTCTTTTCTGCATTTTATTTTATATCATTTTTTATTTTTTATAACTTAATTGTGTACAAGAATTACGTTTTAATGCCAAAATTTTATCTAAAAATATAAAAGTATGACAAAATATAACGTTTTAATTAATAATAAAAATATAAAAATTTTAAATTAAAATACATACAATGTAATGAAATATATTTTTATTTTTAGTTTAATATTTTATATATTTGTTTTATAAATGTAAACAAATCAGTTATACAACACCTCTTTGCTAATTTTTTTTAATTATTTGATAAAATTTTAAAATAAAAAAAATCAAACAAACTAAAACACAATCACAAAAATTATAATTACACGTACCTTCTTTAAGAAATAATTTCATGGAGACTCCTAATAGAGTTTTGAGGGCGTATAATTAAATCGCCGTCTCCCAGTTCTTGCCTTGTAGATGGAAGCAGTGGCAGTGCCCACTCTTTTCTTCTCCCTTCCTCATTAGTATACTATTAGCCTCAATTTAAGAGCAGCAATGACATAAAATAAAACAAACATTGAAGGCCAAATCCCATTATTATTTTGGCACACAAAGCACGGTTTTATCATTGCTTTCTGGCTTCCGACTACTATAAATTTTCGGAAGAACCCTCAACATTCTCAACCCAATAAAAGAACATGCACAACATGAGCACCCTCTTTCTCTTCATCCTTCTATCCACACTCAGTGTAAGCGAAGTGTTTGCTTCACTCTCGTTGCTTCAATTCAATGCTCCCTCTTTTTCACACATAGTATTACGTTCTTCATGCGTAACATAGCGCATGTTTCGTTTAACTTTATTGTTATCAGTTCCGTTAGCGAGAATTTTCACTAAAACACACAATTATTTCTTAAAATTTAATTTTCCAAACATGCTAATAATATTCTGAACGTCTAACAACGCAGGTTGGTTTGGCTGGTCGCGACTTAGGAAATAAAAACCCGTTCACCCCAAAGGCTTTCGTGGAACGCTATTGGGACAAACACGTGCGCAACAATTTGCCAAAGCCGTCGTTCCTTCTCTCAAAGGCGTCACCACTTAGCGCCGCGGATACGGCCTCGTTTTCGAAGCTCGTCGCCACCAACACCCTCTCCACGCGGCTTCCGGAGTTCTGCTCCGCCGCGCACCTCCTCTGCTTCCCGGAGGTGCAGCCAAGCCTGGCAAAACACACCGAAGACGTCAACTTCAAAAAATACGACGACGGCCAGAACTTCACCAACTACGGAACGGGTAGACCTGGTGGAGTCGACTCGTTCAAGAACTACTCCAACGGCCTCTTCAGCACGCCGGTGAACGATTTCCGGCGATACAGCCGCGGCTCCGCCGGCCACGAAGATAGCTTCATCAGCTACGCCAACGACACCAATGTTGCCGACCAGAGTTTCCACACATACGGCACCAACGCCGCCGGCGGCTCGGGCGAGTTCAAACAATACTCCAGCGAATCAAACGTCCCGAACCTGGATTTCACCTCCTACTCCGACAGCACCGGCGGGAGAACCCAATCGTTCTCACGCTACAGCGAAGACGGTAACTCCGGCGGCCAAACTTTCACGAGCTACGGCAAGAACTCGGCCGGAGCTGGCAACGATTTCAACAGCTACGGAACAAACTCGAACGTTGCATCGTCGAGTTTCACGAACTACGGCGAACAAGGCGCTGGTCCAAACGACACGTTCACTAACTACGGCGTTAACATGAACGTCCCCGAAGAGACTTTCAAGAGTTACGCTGATGGAACCCACGGTGGCACAGAGAGCTTCGCCAATTACAGAGACCAAGCCAACGTGGGTGACACGTCATTCCAATCCTACGCTAAGAACACCGAAGAAGGAACCCAAGTTGATTTCCTCAACTACGGGAATTCCGCCAACATAGGTTCTGATACATTCAAAGGCTACACTAAAGGAGCAGAAGGGGATCACAAGGTGGGTTTTACTGGTTACGGCGTTAACACGACGTTTAAGGATTACTCGAAAGAGGGTGTTTCTTTCGCTAGTTACACTAACGCCTCCACCTCCTCCGTTTCGAAAACGGTTAGCGAGAGTTTGGTAAAAAGGTGGGTGGAACCGGGTAAGTTCTTCCGCGAGAGGATGCTCAAGGAAGGGACGGTGATGCCTATGCCGGACATAAGAGATAAAATGCCGCAAAGGTCGTTTTTGCCCCGATCCATTTTGACCAAATTGCCCTTCTCGTCTTCAAAAGTTGACGAGTTGAAGCGCGTGTTCAAGGTGTCTGATAACTCCTCTATGGACAAGATGATTATGGATTCATTGGGCGACTGCGAGAGGGCACCCAGCGTGGGTGAGACCAAGCGATGCGTGGGCTCCGTCGAGGATATGATTGATTTTGCAACCTCTATTTTGGGACATAACGTGGCGGTTTGGACCACTCAGAATGTGAATGGCTCCAATAACAACGTCATGTTGGGTCGGGTCAAGGGAATGAACGGTGGGAAAGTAACCAAATCCGTCTCCTGCCATCAGAGCTTGTTTCCTTACTTGCTTTACTACTGCCACTCCGTTCCTAAGGTTCGGGTCTACCAAGCGGATCTTTTGGACCCGGTTTCTAAGGCCAAGATTAACCATGGTGTTGCTATCTGTCACTTGGACACAACTGCTTGGAGCCCCACTCACGGAGCATTTATTGCTCTCGGGTCGAGTCCGGGTCGGATTGAAGTGTGCCACTGGATATTTGAGAATGACATGACTTGGACCACTGCTGATTGATTGAGGAATGTAGAGTCGGTTCGCGCCAGTGCCTAATAAAAAACACGGAAGCGCCCTCCAACCCCATCAAGTCAATGTTATTGTCTTCTTCTTTTCTTTCTTTCTATTTTCATAGAAATAAGTGGTTTTATCTTTGGAAGAAGGCATTTTCTTGTACTTATCACTTAATTATCTGCCTCTGTTGTGTAAGTGTGCATGAGTAGAAGTGAATGAATCAAGTGTTTATTATATATATATGCATAGAGTTTAAACTTCTTTTTTTTTCTTTTTTTTAACAAAAATAAGCTGCAATAAGAGAATGACACCCTAATCCTATGGGAACATAAGTAACTGTTGTTCACACATATATCTTATTGTTGTTTTATTTAGTTCTAACTACTCAACTTTCCAAGACTAGTAATATAATTTTCAATACATTGTGTTTTATTATTTCTCTATTCCTAAAATACTAAAGTGATATTTAGAAAATAATTAATTTGTAAAGTAAATATTTTAATTTTTTTAAATTAATTATGAAAAACATGTTAAAAATTGTGTTTACTACAATTTGTTTTATTATATAATTCTAGAGTCTCTTCTAATCTAGCTAGATAACTTATTTTTGTGAGATAAGTTGAGTTTTATTTTTTTATTTTTAACTAAATAGATAAGTTTTGTTTAACTTAGACCGTTATTAACCTCTTTTACTTTGTTCTGTTTTTCTAAGTTATAAATATATATATAAAAAAACTAATCTTTTATTGACAAATCATATTTATAACTTGTTAATTTGGTTCATTAAGTCTTACTAACCACCACAACTCAACTCCAATGAGTCAAATAGCTTATTTTGTTAGTTCTAGTATAAAGAGTATGAAAAATTATAAAAGATATACCATTCATGTATTAGTTACTTTTTAATAAATAAGAGTTAAAAGTCTTAAATTTTAACTTGTTATTTTTTATTAGATATAAAAAATTGTACTTTGGTTATACAATTTTTTTTTTAAAAAAGTACTTATTAAAGTAAGTCTTATGTGTAATAAATATTAAGAAAACATGCACCAAAATGAGTTATTGCACACGCTCATTATCCACTTGAGTCACCATTTACATATGCATGAATAATAATTCATACACTCGATGCATAACAAGCACAAATCATCCATATGACATAAGCAAAGACTACTATAAAATTTAATTATTAAGTTAATTATGCAATGCAAAGCCTATACTATTAAATAAATTTCACACTTTATTGCATAGTGGCTACCAATAGCTAACACCCTAAACATAGCTTGTATCCATTACAACATAATTGCAACAAGAAACAAAGTGTTCTACAATCGACCTAAAGACCAATGAAATCAAATTTCATGGTTGAAGGCTTGTGTGGCCTTACCACATGGCATTGAGCATTTGAAGTTGCCTTTCTTTTGAAATTTGAAGAACTTGAAAAGGGGATTGCTTGAATTGTTAGATGGATACTACAAGAAAATGTAATTATTATTCATAATTACTTTTAACTCCAACAAGAGTTTAAATATCCATTAAAATCATTATCTACAATTGACCCATCTATTAAAAATTATACATTACAAATTTGTTACTTAATATTTTGATTGAACACCAATAATTATAGTATTGGTAATTAATTACTCATACTTGTGAACTTTTGGTAATTATTATAGTTTATAACCATTACTAATTACTAGTGATTTTAAAAGTTTCACCATTTTTTTTTATAGTTGCTAAACCCTAATAGTTACCTACAATTTTTTAATCTTTGTTAATTACTTGTAGTAAAAAATTATCATAATTCATCTATTCACATTTTAAAACCTTTGATATTTATTACAATTACTTGTGATTTTGAATCATGATTAATTTACATACAGATGCAATTATTGCATTTTTTTTATTTATGCATTGTAATAAATATTTACATAAATATTTCACTTTTAACTATTAAATATTTTCTTAAAAGTTATAAAAAGAAAATAGAATAAAATAACATAATGAGTGGATATTAAATCAAACCAAAAAAACGTATAAAGACCGCATAATATAACATAAACAAATTAACTAGTTAAATTGATCCAAAAGTATTATAATTAAAATAAAATTCTACCATAGCGATATACATTTTTATAAACACTTTAATAATAAATAACAAAATATATTTAATTAATACTTCATTATTCAAGTAGTATATACTTTTTAATCCCATGTAAACTACTTTTAAGGATCAAAATTTATTGGGATTAATTAATCACATTATTAGTTGAAAAACTTAAAAGATTCAACAACTTAAAAGACTTTTTGAAACATAGCTATATTTGTAGGAAGTTGACCTTGAAAGTTTTATATATATATATATATATATATATATATATATATATATATATATATATATATATATATAACTTGCTAAAATTATGTGTCAAAATCTGCCTTATTGAATATTGAGTATCAAAGTATATGCACACTGCACTCATCTAACAAATATTGCACAAATCCGCCACTCTCCTAATGACAGTAGTCACCTAATAAAAGTAAATACAATTGTTTACACATATTAACAACAGGTGTATGCTACTAAATCATTAAAAAGATCAATTAGAATATTTCTAAAAAAGAACCTTGATATGTTGGAGATACAACTAGATTTGTATCAAATATATGATGGATTCTCACATTACCCTCTCTCAAGTTGGAGCATGCAAATTATGAATACCCAACTTGGCTAGTAGAAAAATGAACTGTATATAGCCAAGAGCTTTAATGAAGATATCTACCAACTTAGTATGAGTGGGAACATAAAAAGAAAGGATGAGATTATGAGTGATGACATAATAAGAGGGCTTGATTTGATGAAATCAAACCATCTTGATTCTAGCTTTCTTAATTTTAGAAAGGGAATATTGAAGATCCAGTTTAACGACTGCTAACTTAATGATTTGACTTTTGTCTTGTTAAGCTCCTTCTATACTTCAACTTGTTTTACCCTTCCAAGTTCTCTTAGCTAGTCTAGTATATAAGGCTATGAACTTCATTTTTACACCCTCTAAGTGATGTAGGTAGTCCTTCCCAGAGCTCCAATAACCTTTTCAATTTAATATGCATACACAGATTATGTTCAAAATAAAAATCAAGAGCACATAAAGTATCTAAAGTAGAAACAGAAAAATAATTCTCATGAGTAGATTAGTGCTTCAAGGAATCAAACACTTTAAATACCACTTCTTCATCATTCAATCTTATAATCAATTTTTCCTATTATACACCAATCAACGTTCTAGTTAAGTCTAGAAAAAGTCTCCCCAAGATAATTGAGATTCCTTCATCTTTTTCTATCTCCTTTAAGAACTTAGAATATTTTGATGTCCAAGTAATGTCTTCAACCAAAGGGATGTTGATATTCAGTTGCTTCAATGTATCCAAGAATTTTTTAAATTTCAAATATCCCTAGTTGGTTTCTAACATTTGAGAAAAAGAAGTCTTGGGTATGTAAGGTTCCATAGGAATTTTTTTTATGACTCTTCCTTCCTTCTTTCTAAGTTCCCATCAATAGAAACTATTTTAATGTGGTTATATACAATTACCTATTCATCCCTGGCATAGGAGGTTTACCATATTACTTTCCATTCCTTAAAGTGATTACTTTTAAGCATTTTTAGATTGTTCTCAAGTTAACTTGATAAAGAATTAGGTTGTCTTACGCTTAACATATTAATTGGCTAAGATAACTAATTCTCTACATTTTGCGAGCTGATTTTCAACTTGACTACCTTACCTTCCAACCTACTTAACTTGACTTACATGAGATCATCTTTTCTTTCTTGTCTTTCTGGTATATAATCTCCTTCATTTTGAATGGAGGGGGGAGATCTATAAGCCTTTTGAGGAAGGCCTTATTGTCGATTATAATGCTTGTCACCCTAAGAAAGATTAGGATGATTCTTCCAACTTTGCTTATATGTGTTATCCATGTAGTTTATGTTTGCAATGTTTTCAGCCAAATGTGCTTTCATCAGGCAAGTGTCTTCAAAATGACTAATTACAAAGATTGTTGGCCTTACTTGCAGGTGGTGCTTATGTAGCCATAAGAGAGGCTATTTGTCTGCTCAAAGTCTTTAACTGACTTATGATAACATCCATCTTATCAACTTGATGAACATTAGCTATGATACATCTCTTTTTTTCTTTTTACAGTGTATCAGTAAATTGTCATTGCTAAATACTGCTGGCAAACTCTCTCATAATTCTCCAAGTATCCTAAAAAGGCTTATTTAAGATGCCTAAATTACATGCAAAATCAACCATCTCCCTTGATAGAGTAAGAGAGACTATTGTAGAAGATTTATACTAAATATATGATTTAATACCCATAATTTGGGCACTACCTGAGTAGATCTTCAAATTTCTCCCATGACTCGTTCAGTAATTTTCACTCATATTGAACAAAACCAACTATTTATGTCAATAGTCTAGATGATAGAGAAGGGAGAAATAATAATTAATATATCGTTGCAACTAATCCCAAATGATGATGGAACTTTCTAATAAATAATTCAGCCAATCATTGACTTTATCAGTTAATGAAAAGAGAAAAGCATGGAGTATATAATTTTTTAGGTCATCCCATTCAATTTTATTGAGTTTGCTAATTGGAGGAATTTTCTAATGTGTTAATGATGGTCTTTAGAAAATGTCCCTTTATATTAGAGAGCTTGTAGATCATATTAATAACAGATGACTTCATTTTAAAATTATTTGCCTTAATAGTTGGAATATGGATGACACTCCTTATTGGTTGGAGACTAGTAGTCTAATAAGGTGTGCTGACCACCTTGAGCTATTATTCTACCTTTTTCGATTTCTATCCTCAATCTCCTTGCAATTTTTTCTATTTCAAGGTCAAACTACAAAAATACAAAAGTGAGAACAAGTGAACATATACTAAAAGCAATCAAAAGAAAATATAATGAACAAGTAATTTTATTTATTTTTGTTATTGAAATACTTAATCACCCAATTTATAATTTTATAGATTGTAAACACTTGTTTTGGATTTTAAACTATTTAAAAGGTTTTCAACTAATGGGCAAATATACCTGTCAATTGTAATAAAATAGAGCATTTTAGACCCTTTCTGTATTGTTTCCACAGAGACTACAATCATAAACACCTACTACTGTTGTTCCTTTAATGTTAAACAATACAATTTGGTTAGGGTATTTGGATTAAAAAAT